TATGACCATCAAATTTGGCTTTTTATTATCCTAGTTTAACATCCCATAACCGAATTGAGTTATCCCTACTAGCTGAAGCTAAAGTAGTTCCATCTGGTGAGAAGCATACTGATTTTACATAAGTACTATGACCATCAAATTTGGCTTTTTATTATCCTGTTTTAACATCCCATAAACGAATTGAGTTATCCCTACTGCCTGAAGCTAAAGTAGTTCCACCTGGTGAGAAACATACTGAATTTACATAATCACCATGACCATCTAATTATGCTTTTTCTAATCCTGTTTTAACATCCCATAAACGAATTGAGTTATCCTAACTACCTGAAGCTAAAGTAGTTCCATCTGATGAGAAACATACTGATAGTACATCATCACTAAGACCATCTAATTTTGCTTTTTATTGTCCTGTTTTAGCATCCCATAAACGAATTGACTTATCAACGCTACCTGAAGCTAAAGTAGTTCCATCTGGTGAAAAACATACTGAATTTACATAATCACCATGACCATCTAATTTTGCTTTTTTTTTTCCTGTCCTAACATCCCATAAAAGAATTGACTTATCATAACTACCTGATGTTAAAGAAGTTCCATCTGGAGAGAAGCATAGTGAATAGACTAAATTGCTATGACCATTTAATTTGGCTTTTTATTATCCTGTCTTAACATCCCATATACGTATTGAACAATCTCCACCACATGCATATTATTGTCCACCTCCAGATGCAATTTTAGTTCCATCAGGCGAGAAGCATACTGAAAACACACTATCACTATGACCATCCATTTTATTTAGTTCATATATTTTAATGTTCCTCCACTTACAATTTAACAATAGAGATCCATTTAGATTAACTCCACTAATATCAACATTTTCAAATTCTGATCCGCTCAAATTACATCTTACAAAATTTGCACCTATCAAACTACTATTCTTGATTCGAATATCCTCAAAGCAATGGTTTGTCAAATCAACTCTTAGGCCTATTAATAAATTAAGTCCATTTGACCCACATTAAATAAAATTTTCATCTACAGTTGTGAGTTGAACTAAACATTTTAACCATTAGACTATTTAATCATCTTTTGATATTTTTTTTATCAGATCTTTTCTAAATTCTTTATAGACTTATTCACAATAATTTTTATGATTAAAGTCATGATCTTTAAGGGATTTCAAAATATCTATCATTATCTTCATTTTAGTTTTCACTTAATCCTCTTAATCTATATTTGTTTTGATCATTTTTTTTAAAACATATTATAAACAAAGTTAGAGATTTTCATCATCTGAAAGAAATTTTAAACAGTCTGAAACGTTTTCTTTTCTCAACATTTCGATTGTCACCTTGTCTATTGATTAGTCCACATCTTTTGAGGAAACTAACAAATCGTACAAATCTTCCTTCTATTCCATTCCTTTTTTAAAAAAATATTATTAAATTTCTATTACTTTTATATTAGGTTTTATATTATGAATAAAAAGTATTTTTGCATGAAAGTTAAGAAAAAACAAAATATTATGGAAATTAGAATTTCATTGAAATAGAGGTAAAATCAAAAAATTTTAAATCATAAGAACTAATGCATAGTTGAATCTTTAAGAATATAGAATTAATAAAGCACTTAATTGTGAAAATTATGCATAAATAATAATCGATATCT